GAGAATGTTGTCCATGACACGTTGGAAAGTGGATGGAGAATTTTTTAGTCCGAAGGGTAAACGGAGAAATTCAAAATGACCATTTTCAACTGAAAATGCAGTTTTAGCAACGTCCTTGGGATCAATTTCAATTTGGTGAAACCCAGAGGCTAGGTCCAAAGTAGTGAAATATTGACATCTGCCTAACTGGTCTAAGAGATCGGAAATATTGGGAAGAGGGTATTTATCGTCGACAGAGACTTCATTTAGTTTGCGATAGTCGATGACTACGCGCCATTTTTGTTTCATAGAAGCGTCTAATTTTTTTGGGACAACCCAAACAGGGGAAGACCATGGAGAAGTGGAAGGTCGAATGATTCCTTGTTCGAGCATTTTGTTGATTTGTGACTTTACTTCTTGTTTGTGGACATGTGGGTACCTATATGATTTTGTAAAAATCGGTCTGGCGGTGTTCGTTTCAATAGTATGTTTAATTTCATTAGTAAAACTTAAATGATCTCCTTCTAAATAGAATATATCAGAAAAATCAAGACATAATTGTGTTATTAATTCTTTTTCTTCTTCGTTTAAATGATCGGTACGGAACTGGGATTGAATTATACCGCGCCTATCAACAGGTTGAGGATTTAAATTGAAAATATTATTTATTTCTTTTTCGTTAGGATTTGTATTAAAAGGTTCGATAGATAAATTTGAAAAATCTATAGTTTTTGGGATAGCATTAGCGTTAATAACAGTAGTAAAAAATTCACCTTTGTTATTTACTTTAACTAAAGCATTAGGTAACCTAACTTTTTCGCATTCTTGAGAGTGGAGAATAGCGTCTGTGTTTGTTAAACTACATTTTAATTTGAAAATTCTTTCGGTCCTAGGTTCGATTGAAATTCGATTTTGAATATTTTGTTCAGGTTTTTTACAAATTTTGGAAAGAACAGATTCGTGTCCTACTTTATGCAAAGGCATTGTTTTGAAATTCGTTATAAGTTTTTTGGACTTTAAATCGATTATACATTGGTAGCGATCTAGAAAATCTAAACCGAGAATTCCGTCAAATTCGATATCAAGATCGTAAAGATATACTTTATGTTTGTCGTTATCGGTGAATGGAATAAGTGTGGATTCTTTAATAAAAAGTGTTTGATTTGTTATACCTTGGATGGTAATATTTTCCTTAACTCGTGTTCTGTAATTTTCAGCGGTTTTATATTTAAAGATAGAAATACCTGCGCCTGTATCTATTAATATTTTGAATTTTTGCGTAGCGTCAAAAATATAGTATAAATTTTTAGAATTTACCGTAAGAAGAGGGTTTAACAGAAGTTCTGTTCTGGAAAGTTTAGATTGGGATTCATGTTGTCTAAATTCAGGGTTTGAATTTGGGAATTGATTTCGAAAATCGGGTCTGGAGACATTTCGTCTGGTGGGATATCGTAAGGGCTTTCTTGAAAATCCTGCTCTGGTTCGCAGTTTTCTGGATGGTTAGAATAATGACTTTGAAGTTCATTATCTTCTTGAAGAGTGTAATTTTCATGTGAAAATTCCTGGGAATTTCCGGAATAACCGTCGATGTAGATCGGGTTTGAGTTTACATGATGAGTTCGCTGCGGGTTTGGATTCATAAAATGTGGCTTAGGATAAGAGTTTGAAGATTTCATCGGTATTTGATTCGAGTTGTTGCTAATGTTGCTTTGTTGGAACCAATTAGAGGGTCGCTGTGGATATTGCGAAAAATTTGGTTTGACATGCTGATGCGTACTTCTACATTGATTTGAAGTATGGCCAATTTTATTACACAAAGTGCATTTAGGTTGCTGAAGAGGGGTTCGAATATTCGCAGAATGCGATTTAGGAGAATTTGATTTGACAGATTTTTGATTTTCAAAATATGAGAGTTGGAGTTCTCGACGAATCCTTGCTTCTAAAAGTGAAGTGGGATTACTAGCACGAATGAGTTGACCTAATCTAGGTTCTAAACCTGTAAGAAGTGTATTAAGGGTCATAGTCTCAATTAAAGATATCTGAGCATCTTTTTGCTCTTTGGATCCTAATGTGGTGGATTTTTGAACACATGAATGCATTTTCGCATTTAGGACTTGAAGACGATTGAAAAATGTTAATGCTGATTCATTGGGCAATTGTTTAAGACGTTGAAGGTCATGAATTAGGGAAGGTAAATCTCTAGAATCACCAAAGTGTAGAGTTAATAGTTTCTTTATTTCTAGATATGAATCAGGATTCCTAGAATTAATTAATTGAGCTGCTTTACCGCGGAGCTTATTTTTAATGTGAATCACTAAAAGAATTTTTTGTTGCGTCGTTGCCATATTATAAGCACAATCACACGCGTTTATAAAATTTCCTAAAAAGATTTGGTCGCCCTCAAATTCAGGTACGATACAGAAAATTTCCGAAAGTTTATAAGGTTCAACTTCCAGCATTGTACTAGGTTCGTCTGATTGAGTTGCCATTATTTTAGGTTTAAGAAAAAGCAAATAAATTTATAAGAAGTTCAAACACAATTATTTTTTGTTTTAAATATTGCCAAGTTAAACTTGGAGACTAAAATTTAATCAAAATAATTATCGCGGAACGATTCTACGTTGCGAAATTCAATAAATAGGTAATTTTCAACCTTGGGTAATCGAACGTAATAAATTCAACAATGTTGCGAATTAAAAATAAAATTATTCGTAACGATTCTTAACACTTACAGTACTATTTTCATTGCTGCCTTTCGAGACGGTTGATGGGTTTATCCTTGTTCCGGTACGATGGGCTGTCTTCGTTGTTCCCTAGATTTAGGGGTCGGAATCTGCCGCCACTAGTTAGAATACTCGTGTTCTAGCAACGTGAACAGATCCTACTCCGAATTCTTGCCTCTCGAAACGGTGATGGAAGGTTCCTTGTTCCGGCACGACTGGGCTGCGATGGTTCTTCTTTCCGTCTAAGGGATTGGAATCCGCCGTCACTAGTTAGAATACTCGTGTTCTAGCAACGTGAACGGATCCTACCGACTGCGCCAATTTTTATATTTCACTTTTCAAAAATAACTTTTTAAAAAATATATTTATTAACTTTAAATTAAAATAAAAATCAAAATGAAATTGTACGTAATAACCTCGTGACGAGAGAATGTTATTAGACCGTTAAAATACAAGTAAAAATGGACATAATAACCTCGTGATGAGAGAATGTTATCAGACCGTTAAAATCAAACTAAAAATGGACATAATAACCTCGTGATGAGAGAATGTTATCAGACCGTTAAAATCAAACTAAAAATGGACATAATAACCTCGTGATGAGAGAATGTTATCAGACCGTTAAAATCAAACTAAAAATGGACATAATAACCTCGTGATGAGAGAATGTTATCAGACAACGTTTTACAATAGAAATTCGTATTTATAATAAATTTATGCTGACGTTGACGGGGTCGACGGCTGCGGATGTTGCGACATATCGTTAACACGACGTTTTCGCAATCGTTGCACTCTTGCAGGTCGGTGGCATTTAACCCATATGGACAATAGGATTTCCGGATATAACAGCTCCCCCATTTAGTGAAAAGGTGGAGCCTAGCTGCAGCTTTTCGTAGACTAATTAAAGCGTAGCTTCTCGGGTAGTTACTTCTGGGTGGATGCTAGTCCGTCTTTTCGGAGTTAGTGATTTGAGTTGCATATATATATATATATATATATATATATATATATATATATATATATATATATATATATATATATATATATATATATATATATATATATATATATGTTCGAAGTGTTTTTGGAGCGCGAGCATTGAAGATGCCAAGTGAGATTTTGGTGAAACGTCTGCAGGATTCCAGTCGGAGTTCAACCAGCGAACGGATGATATCCCGGAATATAGTGTCATCATATATATATATATATATATATATATATATATATATATATATATATATATATATATATATATATATATATATATATATATATATATATATATATATATATATATATATTCTCACGTATTGATTCACGGATGGAAAAATGTGATGACACTATACTCCGGGATATCATCCGTTCGCTCGTTGAACTCCGACTGGAATCCTGCATCCGACTGGAATCCTGCAGACGTTTCGCCAAAATCTCACTTGGCATCTTCAATGCTCGCGCTCCGAAAACACTTCGAACACTGGATTCCAGTCCAGTCGGATGCAGGATTTGCAGGATTCCAGTCGGATGCAGGATTCCAGTCGGAGTTCAACGAGCGAACGGATGATATCCCGGAGTATAGTGTCATCATATATATATATATATATATATATATATATATATATATATATATATATATATATATATATATATATATATATATATATATATATATATTAATACCTACCAGACCCGAGCTTTATTGCCATCGGAAGGTAACTTCCATGATTACGGGCAAGTGCCAGCACGATGAAGCTTGAGACTATTCTTATTGTTTCGATAAAATCTTATCTCACTGAGAGAGAATACTAAATCATTATATATATTATTATCTAAATAGATATGTATTTAGCTGAAATTCTCGAAATCAAATTTCTGACTTCCGTTAAAAGTACCAGGGTTAAAATTGTACGAGTCGGTAAAGGTCTAAGCTTTATTTTACCCAATATTGGATCAATCGAAATATGCTCAATTTGCTAATAATATGCTGCACTTTGCGTTATTTACTATTAATATTTCCATTTTCACGGCTACAAACGAAAAATCTAGGCTACGTTTTTCTCCACAAAGCTGTGTTTTATAACTGTTTCCCGCATCTTCCAAGGAAAATACTTTTCTTAAGGCATTTTTTGTTAAATGGGCGGGTAATATTATAGGAACCCTATTTTTACGAAATATTAAAGAGTTTCAGTTCTTTTCTTAAAGCTTAAGTGCATACCCAATGTAACTTAAGCCTTAATTGTATGTTTTTTGATTCATGATTGTAAAATCAATAATATTTAATATTATTCACTATTCTTGCAGGATATGGGTTATGTTACGCATCTTGTGGGCAAATGGCATTTGGGATATTCTAGGTGGAACGAAACGCCCACCTTTCGGGGCTTCGATCATCATTTCGGATACTACAATTCGTTCATGAGCTACTTTGATTATTTGTCAACATGGACGGTATGTAGACGGTATCATATAACTAATCAAACATAATAACAATAATAATACGTGGCCATTTTTGGGTTTTCGTTATTAGCAGGCTATATTTTGAGGACAGTTACGCATTCTTGGGGCCGGTCAATTGACCACTTCTTAATTGACTGGTCAAAATCGATCAAAATGTTTCAAATGACGTCTTGCAATTGGAATTTACCTATAACTATATTCAAGGAATACGCAAATGCTATACCCAAATGACTGGTCAATAGACACAAAAGAATTTGACTGGTCAGTTCCACAATTATGCAAGATTATTTAAACTTGTCGACTTGCAGATTTTCCAAACTTTTTTACTAACCCTTAAATTGTGTAAATCTTGGAAAGGGCACATATTTTAACCGAGATGAAACTGATATCTAATTGTTTAATAGTATTTTGTGGTTATATAGTATTTTAGACTGGTTTCTAGGTCAACTCTTTACGGCTCTAGTGTGGATTTTAAAATGAAAGGTAAACTGATTAAAACTGTGTAGAGACCCATGAAAAGGGAGCTCTTCTGGTTTGGTTACTTTCTATTCTGATGATTTATTTACTCTAAATCACAAACTGTGGATGAGTACTCTAGTACAGACCTTATCATGCTATTATACACGGTTATTACTGGCTGAAGCATCTTGAACCCTTTGGTAGTTCTCGAAATGAAGCCCAGATTTCTCAAATATTTTTCGACAATTGTTTCGATATGAGCTTCAAAGTTTAACTGAGGGTCAAGAACAATTCCCAAACTCTTTTACTTTTTTAACTCTTTTCAGCTGTTTATTATCAAGCATGAAGTTTTCCTTATAAATAGAATATATCGGCATTTATCAAGATTTAAGAATAATCAGTAGTTTCTGAAATAATCAGTAAATTTGTCAATTTCGCTCTGGAGCTCCAATACTAAATGTACTTTTAAATAATCCAATCAATCAAGTCCCTCAACAACAAACTGAGTTTTTTTTGTAATATAGCATTGCAATCGTTGGAAGAAGTCGCCATGCACATCGAAACTTCCGAGTTTTGTCATTGAGTTGGATGATGTACTTTATCAAAAGCCTTGGAAAAATTGGTACACACAGCGCACGTCTCAAAATTGTTATGCATGGAAACATTGATGTTACCAAGTTTGGAAGGACTAACTGTTTTTTATGAAAAGTAGAAAAAAAAAGGTTAATAAATTGCAGCCTCACGAACTTTGGCAAAGTGACATAAGATAGATAGAGATAGGACATTATATTACTTCAATGTTACAACTAAGTTGGATTTTGAAAATTGATTTAAAGACTAACTGGATTACACATGGATTAATGAATAATAGATGTTTTTTGTTGTTAGTTTGGTTTGGTAGATTGTAGGTCTTTTGCCTTTCGTAAAATATAAGTTGTCTCCGTTACTTTTCACACAGTTGTTTGTTAGGCGTTAAGCAATTGACCAAGATAAATAAAAATAGAGAGATCCTCGTTTAACGAATAACGAAATTAATTAAAAAACCACACTGTTTAAGATCTGCCGAATTAACGAGCCCACCACGAAAATTTCGTACTAACCGACTAAAATGGTCCTAATGTAACACGGCACATGAAAGTCCCGAAATCATTTGGCCATAATTTTAAAGAACTTAAGCCGCTTAAGCATTACTCGCGAAAGTTATTCATTCAGTTCAGCCTAAATAAATTCCCTCACAAAAGTCCTCTGATTAACTAACAGACAAAAAATTTGACTACATAAACAAGTTATCTAATGCTCAGATAAGCTTCATTTTGATTCACTTTTCAGACCCGTACACAGCATCTGTATTTTTTTTACTTCCATGTCATTTTTGTGTTGCAAAAAAAACATAAAAGTTAACTTCAGGTATTGTTTTTCTTGCAGTACAATGATAAAGATTATACGGGTTTCGAATTGAGAAGTGACGGAGTACCAGCATTTGAAGAAACTGGAAAATATGCTACCGATTTGTTTACGGATATTGGGACGAATATTATCAACGAACACGACAACTCGCGCCCTCTGTTGCTTCTGGTCTCTCATTTGGCCGTTCATGCTGCTAATAAGGGAAAACCATTGGAAGCTTCTCAGGAAACTGTTAATAAATTTCAGCACATCGTTGACGCAAATAGAAGAACGTACGCAGGTAATCACGTGTGATAAAAAAGAGAAATTCGGGTCAGTCTTTGTGTCAAACTTGTGACATTTTGTCATGTTTGTTACGCAAATAAAATGAGGTATCCACCCGGTACAGAAAAATGATCAATAAAAAGCAAAGAGCGTTGAAGCTGTAAAACTCAATTTCGCAAAAATTGTCCAATTTAACTTGCGGGATTATTGATTTTCATAAATCGAATTAAAGTTTTTAATTTAACTAACGGAAATCTTTTCATTTTTGAAAGGTTAGTTTTAAATTGTTTTTAGTGACCCCAGTGGGTTTATCGACTAAGTTTTAAATAGAGTGAGTGAAAAATTATTTGTTATTATGTTTTCCAAATATTTTACGCCTATAAAGTATAAAAAGAGATAAAACCTCTTATAAACTTATAAAGTGCATTTCTTCTTTTTAAGATAAGACGGTTTTTCTGGAGAGATAAATAAATGAAATATGATACAGTTAAATGTTGTTTAACTCATTACAAGATCATTTTGGTATATGAATTGGTATTATACGAGGGCGTGCCATTTATATGTAACTGAAATTTTCATTACAAATTGATTTTTTTATTCCAATTAATGGATAATTAAAAAAAAAACACCGGCGGCCGTTTAATTAACGTTTGCAATGCACTGCAGAGCGACGTTTCTTATTTTTGGCTTTTTTCATATCATCCTAATTCCAAAATTTATCTATTTTTTTCAAAATCCGAAATCAATTTTCTAGTTATTTGAGCAGCATCCTGTAGAGTTGAAATATAAAAAAGGTCATGATAACTAGTACTTAGCAACACATCCATCTTTGTACAAAGTTATTACTTTATTTTTTTAGCATGTTTTAGGGGATATAGATATAGAGAGAGAATGTTCCGAACAGGATGGCTCTAGATCATTTTTCAAGAACTTTCGCAGTATTCGTAACTGAGCAAAACACACAAATCAAATAATTTTGAAAAATCGCGTCATCAGTTTGAAAAACATTAAGCGTCGGAACGGTTTGAATGCTCCTCTTTAAGTTTCCGTTCAGGCCTCGGTGTTAAAACCATGGAAATCGTAAAAATTCATTTTCCCGGCGCTTTTGTTTTGTTAACTTTTTAAAAGTTGAACCGCATTAATCAGGCGGAAGGAATGCTTCAACTGCAAGCCCGTGAATATCTGATTCTTCTAATTAGCAAGTATAAATAATTGAATTCGCTGATTCTATACAAAACATGTTTTTTACGAAAGTTCATCGTTTGCGAAAAAGAAATATTTTGGATCATATTGTCGCTGCCTCCTTTTCAGCCATGGTTTCAAAATTGGATGATAGTGTTGGAGCAATTGTGGATGCTCTAGATCAGAAAGGGATGACGTCAAATTCTATCATCGTTTTTATTAGCGACAATGGAGCCCCAACGGTAGGTAAGTATTATTTGGGAAAGAAATTGCTATTGTTATTATCCTATTAACAAGTTGTACATTTGCACAGAACGTGTAAAACATGCAAAACTGAAACTGAAATCATTAATAATTATTTAATTAAGTTATGACGTGGATTGCGATTTTTTTGGATGCTATAACCTGCAAGATATGCCTTTTTTAACAGAGTGGTTTTTTGTATTGGTATTAATTTTGAAATTTCATAATAATTAGTAATATTTTTATACAAATTGTTTATTTGCTAAAGACAATTCGAATTACTGTCATAAACAAAAAAAGCAAACGACCACAGAGAGCTGTTTGCTATATAAAAACCAACCTGTTAACCTATTAAAGGAGGTAGGCAACATTTCCTAATATGTTTGTTGCTTACTGAATCTTAGTCCCGTGTGCTTTGATGAAGCTAGAAATTGCCGATGTGAAATTTTAAAACCTATACCTGCTAGGTGACTTAATAGAAAACTAGCAGCGCAGAAGTTTAACTAAATTTAAGTTTTTCTTTATTGTTTGGTCCTTGTTGTGAAAACCCAAACAAATATGTTTAATTTTAAATTTAAATTTAATTTAAATACCTCGAAATCACTACTGACATTTTCATTGGCGTATTTTTTTGTTTTGTTTAAGTCAATTCTTCACCCAACCGATAAGTAAAAGTACACATTTTTTTTAAGTTATAAGATTATACTCAGTAGCTTGTACCTCTTGTACAAATCAAAATTAAACTGATTATAATTGCGATCGATTATACGTACTACTTGAAGTAGCGACAACTCCAACTGTTTGTACTGGTGAATAATCGATAACAAATTCCAAAACGCCATAAAGGAACGTTTTATGACTGACACTACTTTATTTTTGTATGTGATGTATGTTATTTCTGTAGGGGGTTAATGCTAGTTCGATAATTAGGCAACAAATATCGAGATAGGATTCCCTTTGGTGTAAAAAAAGCACACGGTTTTATAATTTTTCCAACGAAACTTCCACGGGCTATGGAACTTGTAGTTACACTTCTTTTTGATTTCTGCTGCGTCTTGTATACTTGTCAGTCTTGCCAAATGTATAACTGCAAAATTCGAATGCACGTTTTAGGCGAGTATCAAAATTGGGGTAGTAACTATCCACTACGGGGCATTAAGAACACTCTTTTTGAGGGTGGCATACGGACTATCGCCCTTATATGGAGTCCATTAATAGTGCAAAGTACCAGAGTGGCAACGGATATGATGCACGTTGCGGATTGGTTACCAACCCTATTCACCGCAGCAGGTGGCGATATTGGTTTGCTCGATCCCGAACTCGACGGTATCGACTTGTGGTCCAGCTTGGTGAGTATTTTTCCAATTCTTGATGCCAAATTTGTGTTATTTATAAAAATTTGATTTTCTTTTGCTCGTTTGTCACCTGATTAGAGTTTATTTATTACTTTTTATTAGCCTTGGAATGTTCTGAGAGTTAAATAAATTTGTATAACCCACAATTTAAATTAGCGCAAAATTGTATAAATTTACACGGCAAGACGGAACAATTATACAGGCAATTGTGTATGTAGGTTTGTTTGTTTATCATTAGTCTAAGGTTATGAGGAAATAAATATAGTCCGACGTTGTGGCAAATTAAAGAAAACTATATTTTCACTTATTTACACTACACCTAGCACAAAAACTTCGTCGACACTTGGTATATGGACAATAATAATTATTCTATGGTCCGTCTTTCGTCTTTTTAAAGTAAAGGAGTAAGAGGCACGGCTTTCCGCGTTGCCCACGTCTTTTACGTCTTTTTCGTCTAACCGTCTAATAGCTAATGAACGTGGTCAAGCGTCGTGACCTACTTATAACCTTTCGTCGGTACGCATCAAAAACTAGTCCCGAACTCCACGAACCATTTCGACTCACGTCCATTAAAAGAAATTCGCTTCGGATTCACTAAAATTTTGAACCCATGGCTTCATAAATCCGCACAAGTTGATGTTCTATACGGCCCTCCAGTGTTGCCAATTTTCGTAGCGTTCATTCAGCTTAACCTGGGTTACTTCATATCGGCCCAAAAATTTTTTGCATAACTTTAAACCCGGACGAAACCGAGTTCGTTTAACTCACTGACTTTATAGGCACGTGGTTTCCTCCTTAAATTATTCAAAAAGCTGCATATTCTACCAATCGCCACCACTATGACCATCAAAATTCAGTATGTGAGACACTGTCACAAGATCATTGCGCTCAAACCCAACTTTCATGTCGCCAACTGTTTTTGTGTACTCTTCATCTACTTAAAAACCTGAAAATTTACGCACTCTTCGCCTCAAAATTCGAGGTTGGTCATTTTTACTACCATACAAAACCTCGTGTTAAACCTCAATAGCCTTTAATTTAGCGTTCGATATGTTTTGTTCTATTTTTGAAATTTTACCTAAGGTACTCATTTTTATTTATCTTTAAAAAACTAGCAAAAAGGTCGAATTGCTATTTTAAACTATATTATTTCATTTACTGGAACATCAATAACTTGAGCGCGTATTTTTAACCAAATGTATTTATATACAGAAAACACGAATATAGTTTTGATTCCGAAATAAAAAATTTCGTTTTTCAAAAACAATTTTATTCGCAAGCGAGCTAAGATACGTCTGACTCAAAATGGGATTTAACATATATTTATAATAATATTAATTATTATATAATAAAATATAATAATATAATTAATATTATTTAATATATAATATAATAAATATTAGTTAATATAGCAAAAGCGCGAATCTTGCAAAACGTTGTGAGAAGCGCATTATATTGCAGCTCTCATGGGGATACTACGTGCAACTGTTACTCTTTTTCTTTAACCAAAGAGAAAGGTAAAAATCTAAATTATCGTCACAAACATCACAAAAATGTTTAGGTAAGGTTAAAGACAAATAATAATCAAAACTGCCCGTTTCTACCGCGAAAACAAATTCTAGCTATCAATATTGCTAAAACTTAATTACATAATAAAAAACGATTTTTCAGTCAAGAAAGAACTGTCTGTTTTTTTTAAATTAGCTTTTAAAAAGCAGTAGTTAAACACTTTTAACAGTCTGGATCTCCCAACAGAATTAAATAGATACATGCATCGTATATCCTACCATTTTGTTGCTTCTATTTTTTAGGTCGCTGGTAATCTACGATTAGTTTCCACCCACGTTTTTTACGTCTTTTTTGTCTAATCGTCTAATACCGAATGTCCGTGGTCAAGCGTCGTGACCTACTTCTAACCTTTCGTCGGTACGCATTAGAAATTAGTCTCGAACTCCAAGAACCACTTCAAGTCGGCTTCCTTTTGATTTCGACTCACGTCTTTTAAAAGAAATAATCATCGAGCGTCATCATACATCGGTATAGCCGACTGATACAAATGCTCGCACAATATAATTTCATGCAATAGTATATTATGCAACAAGTGCGGTAAACGGCATTTGACTCACGAGTTTATTTGACACAAGCGAAGCGAGTTTTTAATAAACGAGTGAGTTAAAAAGTTTACCGAACGTGTTGCATACTATACTTTTTCTACAACCGTTAGTTTTTGGGTACATTTTCGCAAAACAACACGAATACATTCACTGTCATGACCGTCAGAATTGACAAACGTCTCCGAAAACATCCGATTGCTCCCAAATCCGTGCGGTAAAATCCCGGAAATGTCCGAAGTAGTTCGGAATCATGCGAAATGAAACTGATGTGGTAAAGTGACGCTTCCCGTACACTAGATCAATGCGTAATTAGGTATTTTACAGACGGGAGTAGAAAAACTAAATTTTTTAACATTACAAAATGGGAAAAATTTAACAGTGATGACACATATGAAATTTTTCTTTTTAAAAGCGAGTATATATGTATATTTACCAGGATAGCATACCGATTTCCGTGTATTCACCATGTATTCAAAACATAATCATCATATATAATCTTAAATTAGTGTAAAAATAGAAAACACAGACACACACACACACACAGTGTTAAGTATACACAAACTGGTGTGGATTCTTATAGACCACTTTTCATGTAAAATTCTGCATAAAATTTTTTACCGTGTAACTTTTTGCCTTGATGGAAGTTGAAAAACTAGATTCTGCTTAAGAAGGAACGATTTGGTTATTTGAAACTTGCACATTTTTATCGGTTTTTACGAGTAATTACTAAGTGTTTTATTTTTAACAAATTAATATTATTGTCGTTGCTATAATTACCGTAATATAATAAAAATAAAAGGTAAAAGTAGTGTTTTAGGTAAAAAGTATTGTATATTACCATCGAATTTACGTTCCGAAGGAAATAAAAACTAAAAAAAAAATATTTTCAATAGTTTTCCTTCATTGACTTTCTTAAAGTATTTATCCTCCCCAGACCCTTGCAATTATTTTTTTGTAGGAATAGGTCACCTCTAATGAATTACTGCGCACAATTTTAAATAAATAGATCTTCGTGTTTGTCCAGGGTGCTTTTGTACATAAATCAAATATTTCGTACACGCAGTTTCGAGAAAATAAATTGGCGAATATTTATCCGTCGACCCGCCGATTCGGGTTCTAGACGGAGATTCCATTCCGCCAGTTGAATTGGCTCACTAAATTAGCTAATTTCTCCAAGTATCGTGCTAAACAGTAATAAATGTTTCCTTTAAATTAGGTGTACGATTTACCTTCGCCAAGAAATGATATTCTAATTAATATCGACGAGAAAACGAGGAACGCAGGGCTTCGATTCTACAACTGGAAATTGATCGTCGGTAAGTCAGAAGTTTTGCTTTCCGGCATGGATGTGATTGGATAATTGGAATTGAGTGGATGTAGTTTAGGCTTAATGCCGTATGGATAGATAATGGCTCGCTCCCTTTTTGGGATATCACAATTATTTAGGATTTACCACCCGAGTAAAATCTTTATTTTTTGATTTTAGTAGTTTTTGTTTGTTAAGTAGGAATTCAAAATAAACATTTGACTAGTGGATAGTTTTTGCGCTGTAATTATGGTTGTTTAACTGAACGTTTAAAATGAAAGCAGTTCATTCAGACTCTACCAAATTCATTCGGTTCGTTCGTCGATTGCGTCGATAGTGTTTCCAAGTGCAATTGAAATCCCCACGCAATAAATTCGTCACCCTTTGCACGAAAATTTATTCGGAAGAAAGCAGATAGCTTTCCAATCCCTCCAAAAAGCACATGCCTTCGTTTCTGTTGGACATAATATTCTAAATGTAACATTGAGCCATTATTGACATTTTGTCTGACCTCAGATCATTAAGAACAAATTTTAATGACTGCAACTAAACATACAATACAGAAATACAAAATTCTAAATATCACATTCGGACATCCTGATATTTGGTCTGTCCTTACAGTATCATGAACAAATTTTAACAACAACCCTAGACTAAACGCGCAGTAATAAACAATTGTAGCTTATTCTTCTCCTTAAGTGTTATGCATTGAAGAGCGGCGGTGAACATCATGGCCCTTATCAAATCCTCCGCGGTCTGAACGACCCCGACGATGTTCTCTGCGTTCAACTTGTCTTTAATGTCGGTAACCCATTTGAGGAGGTCCATCGCGTATTTAGTGAAGATCTGTTGAGCGACGGCGTCCTCGAGCCACACTCGCCTTTCAATTGCCTTCTGCCTCAAATTCTGCACCAATTCCTGCTGCTTTTTTGACAGCAAGGTGACCCTGGAGACCTTCTCCTCGACGGGCGTGAACTACTGCTCCAAGTGTCCTGCAACGCCTGTACCTTTTTCAGGTCATACCAGTGGCATCATTTCTCGAGGATCTAGTAGCGCGCCTTCGTTCGTGCTTAACTCGTTCGTTGGTGGAAAACGACATTTTAAAAATCATGGCGACTTTCGCTTAACCTTTACGAAATCTTGGGGACTTTTGCCTATGCTTTTCGAAATCATAGCGACTCTCCGTTAACATTTTAAAATTACATCGTTTTAACCTTCTTGAACTCATACCGACCTTCGCTAAATACTTTGAAAATATAACAGCTTAACTTACATTATATAAAATTTGAATAATACAAAACACGGCCACTTTTGCTTTAACCTGTTTTAAAACTTTTTCTCTTAAACCGTTTCAAAATATAGCGACTTTCGCTTTAACCTTTTCAAAATGTATCATAACCAAAGCGACTTTCGTATCAGAATTCAATAGTTTATAGCTTATAGTTTCAAAAACAATACAACACTTAGAGACATTTGCTTTGATATTGATATTTTCCTTAACGTTGCATTACCTAACTTTTTATATTTATTTATATGACATGATATGATTTATAAGACCTGTAGATACTACTACAGTACGTCGCCTATTAAATCCTCATCTCATATTTACGATTCAGAATCTTGTATTTTTAGCATTACTAGTAGTTTGTAGTTGTATCTATTTTGTATTATCTTCGTTTCATATATACACAAATATATCCTATAGAGGGTGAAGACTCCACCACGCCTGCGCAACTAATTGTGTGCAGGAGAAAAAGAACTGTTTTTCGTGTGGGAACGAGAGCTCTCTCGAGCGAGCTTGTACGGTTCGGTACTGACCATATTTTTTCTCATAACCTCTAAGAAAACAACGTTAGTTAAAATTTGAGCATGCAACGCAAAAACTGTGAATAGGAATTGAATTTCATTCCCTCTCCATGACGGTATATCACTGTTACGCGTTGATTTGACTCATCCATAACACCAGCCTCCTGAGTGAAACACATAATAATATTTCTCTAATATTTTTCCTTTTAATTGCAAAGGGTATTTAAAAATCTCCTTAGATTTTCCTTTTCTTTTTCTGGCAATGTCTTTATTACGTTTTGTTTTTCAGTGATAAAAAGAAAATACGTACGCATTCAGGACGCAAATAAATTCAATCCGACTCCTGCCTTTTAAGATAATAAAATTAAACACGGAGGATTTTCACTAATTCGTGTATATTGGATGTAATTCGCCCAAAGAAATTGCTCTTTAAAGGAAGATTTTTTTATTTTAGCAATTGTGCTGTTTGAGACAAAATCACACGATCTTCCTCACGTCCAAGTTAATATAAATCAAATAAACATACCACCAAATTTATCTCCAGAAGAAGATCTATTTTACTGTCTTTTCAAATTGACATTCTTATGCCACTATTTAATGGCTCCTGGAATTATAAGCCTTGGGAAAAATCTGTCAACACTCCACAACACACGTCTAATAATGCAAAACCTTTCTGTTTAATCACTGGTGAGCATGGTTCACCTCGGCACCTGCTCTAAATGAATGACTTTCTAAACTTTGGAAATTAGAGGAAAAGATAAGTAATGTGAGTCCATATTTAGTCAAACAACACACTTATTGTTTGACAGCACATTTCAAGTAAATTTTTCCTTTTACACCGTCTATCTCGTCTAGGTGATTCATTTCAATTCACTAAGTAGCATTTGTTCTCTTTGGAAAAATGATTTCTAAGAGATTAATATGTTTCTCTATCATTTATTGATGAATATGTCAACTTGAATCATGGTAAATTATGTACAAAAATACAGCGAGATAATCCCAATGATGAGTTTAAATGTATCGAACTGCAAAATGTGACTTACGGTACCTACGGCGCATCTTATTTAGCTACCAAATGCTTACTCAAATTAGCTGAAGACTATCACATGTTTTCCCACTTGCGTCTAAGACAATTCTACATCGGTGCTACATAGAAAGTCTAGCTGTAGTTCAATAACTGAACTCATTCAGCTCTTCAATCATGCTACAACTTCTAGGCTTATCATTCACCCCTTTCGAATTAAGTAAGGTTAATATCATTGGTACTTCGTCTCTGAAATTAGTAATCACCGCAAAAATACTTATGCAAAAGATTTGGTTGAAAAAGTTAATTTGGGACGAGTCCTGAGTAGCACCTGCAAAATATATCGCTTTGCCCGGATTAGAACTCCATGGTGCTTTATTATTAGCCAAACTTGCTAATAGAGTCAAGTCGATACTATCTTACAAAGGTTTGGATGTGGATCACAGATCGTACTCTCCTGACTGAACGATTTACCATCTCGATGGACAATATTTGTTGCAAACAGAATTTCTTTTTGGCAACAATGTGCCAAGATTAGACATTTATTCTGGAAAAGATTTTCTGTCGAATATTTTAAGGACATCAACTCAAATGGGTTACGTCCCTCAAGGATCTTCAACCTAATATGTTAGCCTTGGTAAAAGAGGACAATGCACCTTTCTAACCTCTAATAAAAAAAATTACCATGAAAAAAGGTACTTTTTATAAATAAAACTTGTCTAATTGACAACCCAAAATAATTACAGAAATTCTACGCCAATGACTGTAATGAGTAAATGGGAGGAAAATAGTATATTATGTCACGAGTTTATTTGGTACGAGCGGAGCCAAATAAACAATAAATTAATTTGGGTTTCCGACAAATTTTGGTAGTACGCTTGGTAATTTAATTTTAGCCTTCAGCGACTTGAAATGTGCGAATAAACGTTCATCTCAATTTCATTAATCAAGCATTTAAAGGGATTTCCAATCCCTAATTTGAATTGCCAAATAATGGGTTTGGCAACTCGCTATGCAAATGTATGCGAATTACTTTATATGAGAGTTAGTAGTCTTAACTTTGTGTATGCATGTGTCTTTGCTTCAAATCTAATATTTTATCCGGTACGATGTGTTTGCCTTATGTTCTTCGAATGTTAAGTTTACAAGAAATGATTTTCTAATAAACGCGGCAAAATTATTTAATTAACCAAATATTCGTTATGATTTCGAATGAAAACATATCAGCTTAATGTAATGAGTAATGTCTCACCAGTGCGAGAAAGTTAGATACTCCGAGACTTTAAAAGAATGGAAGTGAGTCTTAAAAACCTTCGACAAATATGACTCTTTGATTAGAACAGTCTCGATGTATCTTTGCACATATGACCTATGGTCCGAAAACATTTTACTTTATCAGTCAGTATATTAAAAAAAGAGAAACAAACAACTTATTTTAGTATGTTTAATCCTTTGCTTTTGCTGTAAATTTTACCAATTAAAATTAATCATAATAAATAGAACGCAATAGCTTGCTGTACAATATTGTTTGGCAATATATTAATACATTAATTCCAGAAAAAATAAACACGTTTTACTTGTGCGTTCATAGGAATTTTTCTTTTAATTAAAGTGATCTATTCTATCCTCTGTTTTAATTTCGCTTATCTCTGCAAAAAATATTCCTATGTAATAGGAACAAGTCTTAATGGAACATACAACCATTACTACGGGCACATCGTCATGGAAGACATCGATTCGCAGCCCTACAATACCTCTGCTATCTATGATTGTCCGGTAGGAAAAGTGGTTAGAAAAATTAATTACAACCCGGTAACCGAATCAGAATACGAGAGACTGAGAAGAATGGCGACTTTAAGATGTTTAGTTCCTGGCGCCAAAAAGAATCCATGCGATCCTGCGAGTAAGTTCCCTTTATTTTAAGGAGTAGCTATTAGTTTCGCAAAGTAGCCACACTTAGATCTGCAGTTGTTATAGGATATAGTTAACACATTGCCACAATTATTATTAATACTAATCTTCGAAAAATTTGCTTAGTTTATTATAAGCGAACTCTTCAAGTTTTAACATCCTGTATGATAAAGACAGAACAAATTATTTTGAGTAGCACTTATTTAACCTTTAATTTAAATCAATAATAATCAATAAAATGAATTATTTAAATATTTCGTTTTTTTTTTAATTATGACTTAGAATACAAAACAACAACAAAAAAACTCGCTAGCAATCTAATTAGCAATATTTAAAATTGTCATCAATTACAATGAGCTATTTTTTTCAAAAATTATTATTCTCAATAAAATAATAAAAATAATTTCACTGAACAAAATGTTATTTACTGCAGTCTTGGCTGGCAGAATTTATTTTCGTCAGAGGCTTTTTAATTCTTCTTATTCACTTCGCAAGCTTAACAGTCATTCAACCTCGATGCTTTAACAGTTTTTTGTAAAATAAAAAAAAGCACTTTGACCAATTAAGATTCTCAGTTGAAGGCGTTAATCTGCATCAGTAAACAATGATTTCGCCCAGATGTTCGTCTAGTGAAAAATGGGTTTTAGCTTGGGATTTTATCAAATAATTAAAAATTAAATTTAGCATCCCTTCTCAATTAACAGCAGCACTTTCAGCCCTAAACGGCTCGCGGGATCCCTTCGGGTAAACTGTTTTAAAACCCACAGTTTTTATTACATCCTGGAATTGGGTTCAATTTTGCCACATTTAATTTAGTCCCCATTGATGAGGTTGCGAAAATTCGAAACATGTTCAAGTTCTCAATACGTCAGGCATATTTGTTACTAACTGTTGGTTAACAACACAAAACGTTAGTTTTAGAGTAGCTAGTTTTGATTCGTTATAGAACTTAATGTCGAAAGATCGACTTTTTCGCAAAAAAAACAAATAAGCGAAGTGAATGCAATATATTTAAATCAAACTCCGTCACGAATTTATGCAGGTCCTCGACACAATTTTAATTAAACAAAAGTTTTAGGCTGAACTCATTTACATTTTTATTGAGATAACTAGCAAAAACAATACAAAACGAGAAATGCTTCGAAGTTTTGGTGTCGAATATAATGAATTCATTTTAAAGTAACTTGGGAATAGTTTTTCTACATGATGATTTTTAGTAAAATGTATTTATTTCTTATAAAATTCTAATCAAATATATATTGGCAAAGATTGTTAAAATTAATTAATTAAACAATTCTAATGAATTACGTACATCGAAACTTGATTGATTGAGCACTAATCCTCTCAGACAACATAAAATAATTATCCATTGATACTGTTTACGACAGGTCTAGAGACAGACAGATCAAGCAGGAAGTTTCGCCCTTTGTTTTCAGAAATTTTGATTCAATCAGCCAATTATTTACAACTAACCGTGTCCGTAATGGCTAAAATATACACCCAATATGCTAATGATTTTTCAAATTTTTCGTATAGTAGAAAAAAACTGTTTTGGGTTAAAACAGAAACAGGCACAATTTTTAAAGTTGATTTATTAATAAGACTAAAAGTACTAAGGTTAAATTATATAGGGAATATATTATTCCAGATAATATAATTGCAATACTACTGTAAAAATTAATGCGCCTCAGGTGTGTATGACATTTTCATTGAGGTGGGAACATATAATAGCTATTAGAGATATGCCGATGAAACAACTACGAAAAAAAATTTTGAGAAGGGCCTTTGAATATACGCTTGCGCGAGATTTACAATTTTGTTCTTCAACAACCAACATGGCCGCTGAAAAATGATCAATAAGTTTGGATGCGGCATTTTAAGGCAATATATTCTCAAAATGTGCTTAGACTTCGATAAATATTCTGGGAAAATGAGTTAAGTGTGGGCAAATCGCTGATTAACAAGAAAATGGTGCAAAGTGAAGGTTAGTGAGTGAAATGTAGAGGCATACGCGAAACTATCTGTGTCGAGTGCGGTGCATCAATTTTTTACCGTGGTAGGGGCACTATATTATCTGAAAGCGATATGGATGGATGGAACTCTAAAGTTCACTCATTTTCAAACTCATATATTCAACTTACTTTTGCCTGAAAATTTGGTGAGATCTGGGCATATTTTGAACAAAATGCTGCATCCAAACTTCTGTCAGCGGCCATGTTGGTTGTCAGAATTTGCAATTATAGCTGTCATTGGTTACAAACGGGATTTTAAATCTCGTCCATGCTCAAAATTTGTTTCATAGTTGTTTCATAAGTCCCTGTATTATCAGCATAGACAGGGCCTCTCTAGTGGCTGCATGGCGTATAAACATGCAGCTACCTAGATATGTATAGAGTCTTTGCATAATACTGAGAATTTGAGCGCAATTACCTATGGACTAGATCGAAAGGATAAATGAATCAAGATAAATCAAAGATGACACTAAATTTTGTCGCGTTTTCTTTTTTTTTAATAACCGATGCTTATGGTAATTTTTTCAGCCGGTTCCGTGTGTCTCTACGATATCCCCAGCGACCCTTGCGAAGAGAACGATTTGGCCAAATTTTTTCCAAGTGTCGTGCGAAGGATGAAAAGAGCTCTGGTAGACTATCGACAAAGTCTAGTGCCGCAGATCGAAGGCGAAATCGATATCGATATGGCGGATCCTAAATTGTTCAAATACACCTGGAACCCTTGGGTCGACTGCTCAGATCTAACTTGCGAACTTTCTTAAGGCTCGGTGAAGATTTGTACAAAGTTGCACTTACCAAATATAAATCAACGATAGCGTTAATGTAAAGTAGCTCTCAATATATTGTTTCGAAATTATTTTGACGTACTTTCCAGAAAATTTACACATTTTTTACATGTTAAACTCTTGTTTTACATGTTAGCAGAAGTAATATCAGCCTACGCCTAACATTAACATTAGTGCTGAATACGATGCAAACAAAAGTATAATTCTCGGATTTCATTTTTAACATTTTTTATAAAACTTTTGGATTCCGCCTGCGTCGGTTTTTGTTGACTCGAGCCAGCTAACGTTTCGCCAATCAACCTGTCGGCTTATTCAGAGCTTGACTAAAACTATCAGTCATTAATTTCATTAATGTGGAGGGAAATTTGAAAAGAAATGAAATGAAACTTATTTTTAAAAATTTTAAATACATACAAACCAGGTGTTCAAAGATATGAGATTCAAAATTACTTTTTGGAAATTTAGAAATCGCAATTCGGTATTAGCTTTGAATCTTGCGTCAACGTAGAAGGCGATTTCATGGGTAATGAAGAAATGTTTTGTTAAATTTATTTAGCTTGTCTCTGTTACCTTCGTATACTTGATCAATGTACAAACATGCATTTCATATCTTTTTTGCCAATGAACTTAATAATAATAATAATCCATGATTTTTTTGAAACAGACAATGAACAATTTTGAACTCAGCTGGATCAAACATTCCTGATCGATTACCTAGAGTTAAAACCGTATTTTTATCGACATTTATGTCAGGGTCAAACGGCCTCTTCTGGCAGTGAATGCGTTTGCTGAAAATCGCCACCGTTCTCCTCTTTTTAATTTATTAAGGGTCCTCCTTTAATTCGCCGATCAGCGTTATTCAAATTATTGAACATTCACCTTTGTTAAATATTTCCTTTTGGAGCTTTCGTATTACTCATGCATTATTTGATATTTAATTATACCTTGACTCTTCGAAAAAGTAATTGCAACTAAATAAAATATTAAAGAACACAAAAATGTCAAAAATGTTTACATTACATTGCATCATTATGTTAGAACTAAAGTATTCATGTGTTCATCAAATAAATCGAGATCAGATCTATTAACAAGATATCATATTTTACTTGTTCCTTTTCTCCTTTCACTAATACTTGAGGCCTCCATCCTGTGTGCTATTTCTATTTTAAAAATCATTTCAAAGTGTTGCGTCTTGAAATTCTGTCGAATCAGTAACTAAATTTATAACTGTAAACAATTTATATCTCCCGTATGTAAAATCAAAACACAAGCTAAACAATATTTAAATTTAAATTTAAAAAGTTTTTTTTATATTGCCGAGAAGGACTTTTGTCAGTTGGTCAGTCAAGTTTGATGTAGTGCGAAAACTGTTAGCTGTTAGACAATATAATGACCGTAGACGGCTTTGATATTTTCGTAGAGAAGGTAATGATTTTTCGCTCAGGCCTCTATATTTCACCCACTAACCTGCGCTTTGTGGCATTTTCTTTCTAAACAGCGATTTTCATACACTTAACTCGTTTTACCACAACATTTAACTATATTTAGAAATATTTTGAGCAAATGGAGCCGTAAAAATGCTGCATCCAAACTTGACGATTTGTCAGCTGTCATGTTGGTTGTTGAATGCCGCAAGGTTATTGGATAAAAGCGAAATTTCAAATCTAGAGCATGCGCAGGTTGAATTTTTTTACATAGCTTCAGAAGTTCTTGTATTATCAACATAGACAGGGTCATATCTTTAATATGGTGAAAACTAATACGCTAGAGGGTTCTGACTTATACTATGCAGATTTAAATAAAAAAAAATCGTAGTAGGCTCTGGATTTACATTTTAGATGAGGTTTAAACGTCAATCAAACTTGGCATACTGATCAACAAACGAACAAAATGTTACTTGATAGTCTATGAGTTTATGTAGATCGGTTACTAAGATATAAAGCCGCGTCAGGTTTAATACAATATTTTAATGAATATCTTTTTCTCTTAAAAATAGACAAATTTCACTGAAGGTATAAAAGCAATTTAGTTAAATATTGGAATTAACATTGTGTTCTAGACATTTTATTTTACTTTATATTAAAATGCCTGCCAAGCGATTAACATATAAGATAACACAAAATCTAATCTGATTAACAAAAAGATCCTTTACAATTATCAATAACTATTTCCTAATAGTTTTGGAATCTCTCATCATAAAATTGGTGGCCAATTTAATTAGTAAAAATTGTAATTTGGAAATATACGTATATACATACCAAAACTAAAAAGAAATCATTGAATGAATGAATTTATTAAATTTAAAAATATAATAAAAATTAATTAAATTGAAAAAGAGGCTACAAGCCATGCTATTTCATTTATTACTTGCAAAGTGATTCGTGATTTAAGCAGCATATATTTTTTTGCAGGAATAGGGTTATATAGCAGACAAACAGTTACACATACCATTACAATATGTTGCCCATATTTTTGCGTAAGATTGTTATGATCCATTTAATAACTGTGTTTCGCAGTAATTAAAAAAATATTTATTAAGACATTTGCGAATGTTACTATTATTTATTACTTATTTTTCATCGTCATTATTAATTTCAATTCAATTTTGATATAGTACACATTTATTATCTGATTTAAGATCGTTAAGTTAATATTTGCCTATATCAATTGGCATATTTAAAAGTCGTTTTTTACTTGTGCAGAAAGTCCTTAAGCTGATTATTTTAAATTAGGTACTGGATGTATATTATCTTGTTCTACAAAAAAGGCTGGTTTTATTTCTTTAAACTATTAACTGCTTAATTGCTTAACCGGGGAAACAAAGCGATTTGAATGATAATGTGGTATGTCAAACTTTGTCAAAACCAAACCTAATTCGAATGGACGTTAAGGTTTGATTGATTTACTATAGAAAGTATCAAATAACCAGAAAATCATTGCAAATAGTTAAGGTAAACTCAGGTAATAGTATATTATGCAACAAAGAGTGACTTAAAAAGTTTACCGAACATGTTGCATACTATACTTTTTCTACAACCGTTAGTTTTTGGGTACATTTGCCAAAAACAACACGACATGACATGACCGCCAGAATTGAGAAACGTCAAAATTCAAGTCGTGGGAAATATCTCCGAAAACATCCGATTGCTCCCAAATCCGTGCGGTAAAATCCCGGAAATATCCGAAGTGGCTCGGATCCGTGGGGAACGTGGTAAAGTGACGATTCCCGCGCGCTAAATCGGTTGGTAAATAGGTACTTTACAGTAGGGAGTAGAAAACTGCACCAGAAAAACAACTTTTGTAGTATACCGCAGTAGTGAGTTGGTTACCCTGTAAACCTAAATTGCTAGATGGCATTGATTATTGATATTATTTATGTCGTGGGTGATGAGCACTCACTTAAGCATCTACGTGACATTCATTAACGCCCGGGCGCATACTAATGAAATGCAACGATCGAGTGAATCATTATTAAAATGTGTCCCATAATTATTATACTCGTGTTGTATTATAGAACCGTTCATCGGCGCGTCAATTTTCGCCATTTACCGATAATTTAATCGAAATTAATTGAACTGTCGATGCTCGTTCTAGTTTTTACATAAATTCCAATTTAGCGCCAATTGAAAATTTAGTACAACAGAACGAGATAATTTCGCGGAGATTACAGCGATATAGAGCACACATATTGTTGCCACAACAATGTAAACAAACGCATTCAGTTCACTCCATTAAGTCTGAAACCGTAAGCGATAATTAACGTAATATGGCATTAACTTTAACGCCGAGATTAACTCGGTGGGCAGCAACGTTATCACAATTTTACGTTTCTCGATAGTCTATGGAAGTTGCTGTTCTTACAGGTTATTTTTTTTTTCTGGTATAGAACAAAACGTATCGGGAATAGTTTTACAGTCATTTATTTTTATACAGTCAACAAATTTAACTGCACAATGCTCAGTAACCTCACAAAACGACTGCCTACAACAAACGTACAGTTTTTCCACCATATTTTCGGAATGCGAGAATCAAATTTATAACATCCAAAATATGTTTTATGCACTCACGAGTAAAGTAGTATAACGTGTTGGATAAGGATTGCAGATCAATACTGACCACTTACGTAATCATCGTTTTATATATTTCAATCAGTGATCCTCTGTTCGCCACCTGATACCTATATATGCTTCGTTAACCAAATCATGTAAATTCCTTTCTTCCGTATGAGGTTTTCCTTATATTTTTCCATCCTCCCTCCTACGCTGTAAATGTACAAGTTGAAGGTTTCATGCACCTAATTTTTTTGTTTAATAGTAAATTTAGAACACATCTGTCAAATATATTTGAAACGATGGAAACGACTGTGACGTCACAATTATCACGCGAGTGAGGTTAGAACACATAACCTACAACTTATATAAAGTTACGTATAAACCACAGACAAAATAATATAATTCGAAAAGCGTTGTCGTAAGAAACTAATTTTAATAGTTTTTTTTTTATTAAATCGAGGTAGAATAATAACAACACACATGCATAGTCTATTAAGTAAATTTTGTTTGTTGAGATACGTTGATAAGTGGAGTTTGATTAACTAGGTCTAAAATACCCTGTTTGGAAATTACAGAAAGTCTACTTTTAACTAAAAAGTTGTTTTCTTTTATTTAAGTTCTTCAAATGCTGCTTGCTATTATTCCCAAAACGTCTTCAAAACACTAATATGACTTTTCTTATCTTTATAATTTTCAATACAATCTTCTAGCGATTTTTTTATTTAAATTTTGACAACGTAGGGTCAAAACCCTCGTGCAAAATTTTATCAATGTCCCCAACTTGTTGGTAACGATAATAATTTCGCAACCACTCGCAAAGAAATCAGAACATTTGTAATCATGTGAGTTTTTGGGTACATTTTTGTAACACACCACGAATATATTCACTGCGTGACGTGTGACGCAATCGTGGCTAAATGACAATAACATCCGATAGTTCCTAAACCCCCGACTGAAGTACCGGAAACGTCCAAATTAACTGAGTTCTTGAAGTGACACTTTACGCCCGCTTGATGAGTACACAGAGTAGGAAGTAGAAAAACATTTTTTACAAAATTTCGCCAAAAGTATTGCAAAGTGTTGTTTTTTTGTTGTTGTTTTCCATGAAACAGCGGAAAAATTTAAGCATTTTTGCATCCATAAAATGTCTCCGTAGAGTTGCGTCTAGTAGGTTTCGAAATATCGGCCAAAATAAAATTGAAAAAGAAACTTAATTTTAAACGACAATATCGGAACAAGGTAGATACTTAATCAAATTATTTTCGAGAAAGTCAATTAAGAATTTAACGAAGGAAATTTTATAGGAGCCATGATGGGGAATGCAAAAAGGATCTGCTATCAAAAATAATGGGGACATTAGGAAACGCTGTTAAAAGAGAAAGGGTTAAAAATTCTGCTTCAAAGAAAAAGTCGCACAATTTCCGAACCAATTCGATTTATAGGAAAATGTTTGTTTGCAGGGTAACTAGCTAGAAGAATGTTATTTTTCCAAGTAAAGCTTCTCCCTATAACAACGCCGCCCTATTTGAGATAAATTTTCGAGAAATGCCAGAAATGTATATATATTAAGATAAATATCCGACCTCTTCATACAAAAGTTTTATATTGTATCCGAGTTTCTTTGCTGGAAAATGCATATCCTGGAAATGACCATTCTTTGAGGGATAAGCAAAAACCTGCAAAAGTAGATATTTCTTCTTGGAAAATTGAATTGTACCGGTTTCCTTCGAGCAATTTTAAATGACGACCCCACAGTTGCCTATTAGAAACAAGTCTTAACTTTCAAACACCACCGGTTAAATTCGAATTATATATCTTATAAAATTTTATGATTGGATATTCGAAACAAATTTTCCCCACGTAGTAAAAAAATGCTTCTGTGTGATCTGTTAACTTTTGTAATGACTGTCTGTGGATATAAATTGATTTTTCGTCCATTTGTGTTGCTTTTTGTTGTGAAGCATCCTTTACAGAATATTTTTACTTTTCTAAAACCGATACGATTTTTTATAAATTTTGTTTAATTTCTTTTTACTTAGACTTTTTCTATGATCCAATAAAACTGTAAACTACAGCAGGCATTCTAGCACTGACCTTTTATGTACTTTCTTTTAGTTAAGTACGTTGCGACAGAAATATTTAAAAAAAAAACCCTACGAAAAAAACAGGGAAACTTTAAAAAAAGGCTGATTAAATGTATAAAACCTTCATTTAAATTGTCGATTTCGAATTTCTTGGAGCTCGTCCTCTCGAACGAACAACCCCAAAGTTATGAACACGACTTATAGTATAGTATGTTAGTTAATTTTTCATAAATCCTGTTTGGAACATTCGTTACTTTTAATTATTGAATAAGCCAAGTTATGACTTTGGCAATATGCTAATTCATATATGTATAGTATCTCATCAAGATAAAATATTATAAATATATTTTTTAATATTATAATATAATTGAAATAATGACCCAATTTGAAATTTTGTACAATTGCCTTAATTAGAAACAAATATTTTAGCACCAAAAATATTTAAGGTTTCTAAAGAAAAAACATGAAACCTTCAACTTGTACATTTACAGCGTAGTAGGGAGGATGGAAAACTCACATGATTACAAATGTTCTGATTTCTTTGCGAGTGGTTGCGAAATTATTATCGTTACCAACAAGTTGGGGACATTGATAAAATTTTGCACGAGGGTTTTGACCCTACGTTGTCAAAATTTAAATAAAAAAATCGCTAGAAGATTGTATTGAAAATTATAAAGATAAGAAAAGTCAAATTAGTGTTTTGAAGACGTTTTGGGAATAATAGCAAGCAGCATTTGACGAACTTAAATAAAAGAAAACAACGTTTTAGTTAAAAGTAGACTTTCTGTAATTTCCAAACAGGGTATTTTAGACCTAGTTAATCAAACTCCACTTATCAACGTATCTCAACAAACAAAATTTACTTAATAGACTATGCATGTGTGTTGTTATTATTCTACCTCGATTTAATAAAAAAAAACTATTAAAATTAGTTTCTTACGACAACGCTTTTCGAATTAAATTATTTTATCTGTGCTTTATACGTAACTTTATATAAGTTGTAGCTTATGTGTTCTAACCTCACTCGCGTGATAATTGTGACGTCACAGTCGTTTCCATCGTTTCAAATATATTTGACAGATGTGTTCTAAATTTACTATTAAACAAAAAATTTAGGTGCATGAAACCTTCAACTTGTACCTTTACAGCGTAGTAGGGAGGATGGAAAAATATAAGGAAAACCTCATACGGAAGAAAGGAATATACATGATTTGGTTAACGAAGCATATATAGGTATCAGGTGGCGAACAGATGATCACTGATTGAAATATATAAAACGATGATTACGTAAGTGATCAGTATTGATCTGCAGTCCTTATCCAACACGTTGTACTACTTTACTCGTGAGTGCATAAAACATATTTTGGATGTTATATATTTGATTCTCGCTTCCGAAAATATGGTGGAAAAACTGTACGTTTGTTGTAGGCAGTCGTTTTGTGAGGTTACTGAGCATTGTGCAGTTAAATTTGTTGACTGTAAAAAAATAAATGACTGTAAAACTATTCCCGATACGTTTTGTTCTCTCTATGGTTCTTTTGCGGTCAAAAAATTTAGACGTAAAATTACACCCCTGTTTAAACAATACAACAAACTTTTGCGCCACATATTGTTTGTAATGAATGCGAAGTAGGTTTAAGACATTGGAATAATGAAAGCAGGCGGTCCCTACCCTTTGAAAAACCTATGATATGGAGAGAGCCAACAAATCACCATGACGACTGCTATTTCTCTGCATGTTCAATGTTCGTGGATATAATACAAAAAATTGGAAAAAGATTGTTCATCTGAACCTCAAGTCGGCAATTAGGCAAGTGTCACATGATTCAGATGTCCCAATACCTGATAATCCAGGCAATTTAGAAAAAGATACGCCCAGCTTTTCTGAACCTGAAATAGATGAAGATACTCTTAATGATATATGGGTTGAATCAATAAAACTATCTTCCTCGTTCTCAGCAACCACAGTTATTTTTACAATCAGAACTGAATGACTTAGTGAGAGACCTAAGAACCTAAGAATCTGTCCGAAATTCTAGCACCTAGACTTCGAAATAACAATTTACTGGCACAAATTTCAGGAAGTGCGAGATACAATTTATAGGCTATTAGGAACAAAGCGATTCACTTGCTATTTGCTCCGATATTCCTAATCTAATAAGGAAACTTGGTATAGACTATAATTCTGAGGACTGGACGCCTTTTTTTGATTCATCCAAGAGAAGCTCATTTTGTGCAAATGAAAGAATGCTACGAAAATCTGGAACTACTGCTGCAGAAAATCAAATACAAGGTTTGTAATACTTTTTGCAAAACTTCTGGATTCCTCCTGCGTCGGTTTTTGCTGAGTCGAAATTGCTGACGTTTCGCCAATCATCTTGTTGGCTTCTTCAGAAACAAACTGAAACTGGCTTGTATTTTACTCCGTACCTGTTTATATATTATTTGAGGGGGCGGATCTAAATACCGCATAAACAACGTCTCGGATGACTGATTCCCAAATTGGTGACAGGTAGAGACCTGAGTCGCGGTTAAGATTGTTAGGTTGTTTTTAGTTGATATTTTTCGACTCAGCAAAAACCGACCCAGGACGAATCCAGAAGTTTTGTAAAAATTATTATAGTAGCCTGTGGACGTTTCCTTGAAAAATTAACAAGGTTTTTAAGTTTGATGATTTGTGGTTACTTAACAATCATGGGACTTCTACTAAGTCAGCAGTCAGGATATACGAAGTATCCCGGTTTTTTGAGTGAGTGGGACAGTAGAAACAGACAGCATCATTGGGTGAAAAAGTGTTTGTCAAAAAGGGTTAATTTAACTCCCGGATCAAAAAATATCCTTCACGATAGTCTTAATGAAAACTTCTCTTACTACCGTTGCATATTTAATTTAATTTACAAATGACCAAATTACAAAGACATTGTAGAAAATATGTTAGAGAAATTTAGGGAAATGGGATGCAACATGAGTACACTTATTACACTCACATCTGGACTACTTTCCCGAAAATCTTGGTGCCGTGAGTGAGGAGCAAGGTTCCACCAAGATATAAAAGCTAGGGAACGCAGATCTCAAGGTCGATGGAGCATCGGAATGATGGCAGATTACTGCCAGTCATGGAATAAACAAGAAAATCCACTAAATGAAGTTTTTTAGCCAAGAGGGAGAGATCTTAGAAAAAGAAATGGAATTAAGTATTGTTTGAGATTTAATGTCGAATAAAAACATTAAATGATAGAGGAAAATGCTTATCAGATTGACATTTAGGAGGCCTAAATTATACAGAATCAAATGTCCGATCGAAATCAACTTATAAAAGTTTAAAAATCGTCGGCCTGTGTTATGTTTATGTGCAAGTTAGAAGAAGTTTAATATTAGAAGCTGATAGAAATAAAAACTACGATACGAACGCTGCTCTTCTAAAACCGTGAGAAACATGCATCAAAGATGGAACAGATGTCAATGTTGATATTTTTAAGGTGATATTTATGCCTATCAAGGGAGATAATGATAAATTCTACCGTGCAAAATGTTATAATCATCACGAAAGTTGAGTACTACCGATTTCCCTCGACTTAACTATCACATTATTGTTTTGCTAAACACATTTGCCTCCAAAATCGTGGTTATCGTCATTTGGATTCGGGGCGATAGCGAACTGTAGAAGGAAGTTTATTTGGGCTGTGACAAGTCAGTATATGTAATTTTTGCAACAACCTTTGAAAAAGATTACCCTACCGCTTCTCTAGCTTGCTTTGAATCCAAGTTATCTCTAGGAAAGGAGCAGTTGCCCTCAGGAAATACAGTTTTTGTATTTAACTGATTGCAAAGGCCATTTTCCCTTAACAGGTCATGCCTTCTTCCTTCAAAAGGTTCCATACAACTTCAAGTAAACAGATCAGGCGTAACCAAATTTTGGTATATTAGGCAATGAGTACTTTGTAATCAGTAGAACATAATTGCTACAGGGCATATAAGCCAACCACTATAGCTACTACTAACTAATCAGTTTTCAAGAACAAAAAAATTAAAAAAAAATAATCTAAAATTTTTGACACTTCGTTAAACAGTTCTGACGCGAACAAAATTTCCCTACGACTCATTATCGTTCCACAAAGTTACCAGAAAAAATAACGAAATTGAGGTTTAAACTAGCTTACACCTCTATACATATCTGCTCGACAACCATCTTCTTTCTGGTTTTCTATGGCCGTTCTGACCCTCTCGGACATTTCACAGCTTTTTGGCCTGCGCGAGTTCCTCCGGCACGGCGGTAAAAGTTTTCTTCGGCGCGACGATTGAAATCACTTCAGTTGCGCTTCAAACCGATTCAAATTTCCATCTAAATTGCTGTCGTATTCCGGAGGACGCGCGGCCCACGCGTCTCGGGACCTTCCACCAAGTTTCCCGCCACTTTTTCGACCGCCTCTGTGCATGGTACGTAACGTTGGTTTTCTGATTTGTGTCGAATCGTTTCTCTTTGAACATAATATATCAAAAAAATGATAAAACATATTTTGTAACAGGAGGATAAATTGCTCCTCTCAAAAACGGAAGAATGTTGCTTATATTTTTAAATTGTATTAATTTAATTTCATAACCTCAACTTTAGGTCCTTTAACATTACTTTCGTATATTTGTAATCCTCGTTGCCTTCTTTAATAAAATGCCTTGTATATATTTTTCAGTGAAGAAGGCAGATAATACATTTTAATGATTGGCAGGATTCTGTTGTCGCTTGAAGTAGCTTTTTCGTATTTGATATCATGTGATACAGGAGAAATGGTGGAAAATGGTTCGAATGGTAATGTAATAATTGAAATAGAACAGTTATTTCTGAAATATTAAAATAATAAAATTGTTTACAAAAATCTTTATTCACTTCATGTTATAGATTATTTACGCTTATGCACCCGGAGTATTCGATGGAGTTATGAAAGTTATTTATACATCATTGTCAAAAGTGCCACAAGTAGATGAAATGTGTGTTTTTTTTATATTGAATCGTCAGGGTATTATACTACTGACTTTATTCAGTAGAAGTTCTTTGTTTAAAAACAATATCTAAATTTGAATTCTGTCGTTTTCTGTTACTGCAATGCATTTATTACATTTTGCTACCGTAGCTTTATTTGGATTGCCAACGACTTTTATTTACTGTGCGCATTTGTATTTCCTTTCCTTTTTATCATGGCCACTTAAATTAATTAATTTTGATTCATATTATGTTAAGAACCATTTTTGTTGAAAATTATATTATTACAGCCGATACTATTAGCACTTTTGGCGCAACCTATGTTATTTTCCCTTATTCAATATTATTATTCAAACTTCAGGAGGTGATTCTTTAAATTCTTTTGGGTGCATTCGCATCTCTCTTAGTTTTTGATTAAAAAAAATTACCACCTTCTTTCAAGAGCAATACTTGCTTTATGTACACTTGAAAAAAAAGTATAAACAAAACAAACAAAATTGAGAAAACATCAGTGGCGAACACCTTTTTGTGAAAAGTATTGGACAGTGTCGTCCTGGATGAACAAATTTAAAACTATTGGCTAAATGGATTTGGCACTCTGTATCTTGAAACCAGAGTGCTTAACAGCGTAAGATGATATGAATTTCTTGACTTAGAGAAAGCGTGGTGTCTCCTCAATTGATATTTTTTTCAACTCGCGACTATTACGGGTTCATTATTAAAAGCAAGTCGGTAAAAATTGCCCAGCGGTATAGGACAGCAGAATATCCGATAAAATTTTGATTGGCACAGCGGTTTCGTTATGAAGCCGGGGCTAATATTTACCTACATTTCATTTTTCAACTCGCCTCTATATGTATCGCATGTTATTCGGTTAAGCTGAAAATCAAGTACCTAAAATGAATACTATTCCTAGAAATATATCGTTTTACAAACAAAATTGCTGATATTTGCGACTCGATACCTCAATTATCGCGTTTATTAAGTAAATTGGCAATGAATCGAATAGCCGTTCAATAGTTAGTTTGAAGGGTTATTACTCGTTATCGGCCATAGTTTTGAATTTTTTAAAAAGCGTTGATTGGAAGTTTATTGATATGTAATTTAGAGTAATTTCTGGAGTTAAGGTAAGTGCCAAGTGAAAATATTTTCCTGTGACTTCCGATTCAATCGCAAGTTGCCGTCAATTTGCTTATTTCATATGGAACACCCTAGTCGATAAATTCGGTTTTTTCAAATGTGTCATCCTGTAAATTTAATGTTATCTAGTTCAGGATTTATTTCTCTATCAAACTGCGTTAGGGTTAACTATACCTATTTCTAACGATATATAATTTGGTTCTTTGATAGTATCGTATTTGTTGGGCTGAATATTTTCATTTCACGTACTTGGCTATGAAAAAACAAAAGTACTATTAGTGCTATACTAATTATTAGTTGTCAACAACAGAACACAATAGTTGTTTTTCCACTGCCAAGAACGTGAAGGGAAAATGTTCAACGAAACAAATTCGATTCCAAAAATCCTAATTTGTACGAATATGGTTCGAAGTAGGTATAGGTAACCAGACTTTCAAAATGTGAATTTTTGTGGCATAATTTTGGACACCCTGTATCAAAGTAGACAATATAAATGACAAACACATCTACTTGCGACTCCTTTTTAACATTTTGCCAAATATGACGATCGAGTTTTCAAAAACTACAAAAATATGCATTTTCATAGTTGGTGAAGCCGGAGGTGCAATCTTTTTTCAAAGTCAAATATTTCAGAAACGGTTAGACGTATGTATAGGACATTATACATAGAATATGTTTAGAATTTCACACAGAATCTGTAAATTATATCTCAATAAACTTTTAATGAACGGGTTTGGCGAAAAGCCCTGTCTATTTTAATATTCTACTCGCAGGCGCAATTTCGTGTAAAACATAAAGTAAGCCGCAAAAAAAACTGCGTGTGGAATCCTAGGTAAACCGTAACCAAGGGGCTGCTCGTATGCAGCTTATTGAACGAATATTTTCCATTTTAAATTACAAAAATATATATTGAGAATTTGCTTTCAAAAGTATTACTGGAAATATTCAGCTCTCGTTTTAGTCGTGTAAATGTAAATTAAATTGGACCAGAAATGTTCTTTTCTTAAATATTGAGCCATGCGTTTCTCAACCTTTTCAGAGTTGCCATTTAGTGGCTGCTGTTAACACAGCGATGAATGAATTGTTTTTTTTAATTTTAAGATTACAATAATAAAATTAACATATAAAAATGTCTGATTTAGAAGTGCAGACCGTCATAATTATCTGTCTTATATAAGGAAAAAAATAATGTCGCCTTAGTTTATGACAAAAAATGCTTAGAAAGACTCCAGAAGACATTTTTCCCATTCGTTGGCTACCAAGATAAAAACCGTTTCAAAATGCGATTTAATTATTTCCTAGTTTCTACTTTACCAATTATTTCTTAAATAAAGGGCGGAAAACCACAATTAACAAAATTAAATGAAAAAAAGACAAGAGACTAGCGAGTAGGTATTCTATTCAAATGGTCTGAAGAAGGCTTCTGCTCATCCTGGAATTTGTGTGAGTAAAGAAGAAACATTTTTCGTAAGTGGTGTATAATTATGTCGAACAATTTTGGCTATTAACTTGTCTTTTATGTATTAAAAATATTTTAATGGTTGGATAACTTAGCGACTATACTGATATCCGATATCCATTTGTATATTTACCTCAAAAGGTTATATTTCTTGTAGTCGTAATTTTTTATTGAATTTCTTACCTGCTTATAGATAATAGATAATAATTTGTTGCTAATACATTTTCCTCTCTTTCTATTGAAGCATCTATACATTATTTTGCAATAGACAAATTATATTATTATGTATTATATTATACTTGTATATATTATTTATATTTTATATTTAAAGTAAAAAAATATCTTTAAAATTTCCATTTTGTAGTCATTTTAGTTCTTAGAGGTAATGATAACGAAACGTTTCCATCTAACAGTTTTAGCCAGTTTCATCTAACCGACAAGAATCCGGGATTAAAAACGTTCCTCCTGAATAGAAGTAATAGGCGAGGCCAACAACTATAATTAAAAGAAACCCAACGAATTCGAGTGCTGCACCTAAATTGCATCTAACCTAGAAATTTACAGCCGCCGATGCGTTAAAGGATATTCCTAAAGTTGATATTCTTACTTTTCCATTTCGACCCGCGTTTATTGAGTACACAACGCGATTTGATAGCAGATAAAATGGGATAATTGATTTCGCAATTAAACCATCCGCAAGCAAATATTTTCCGACTGAAGCGTTGATTGATTCTCTTTTTGCATTTGCTGTAATATCATTTTGCGTTTTAAAACGGACCGATATAGCACTCGGCGGTATCGATATTGTCAAACGAGGTCGCTTTTATTTATTTGCGCTCTGGTTTGCTCGTTGTTTTGTGGACACAAAGTAAAATATTTTTTAAATGTTATTTTTGAAAATAGTTGAAAAGTAGCCAGTAGTAAACACCAGTCGGTTGTCTTATTCGCTGATATTTTTACCAACTATAGGATTGCCACAAGATAATAAATCAAGCGAGAAAATAATGGGTAAAATTGTGTCCTTTTTTATAATTCTATAACAAAATAATTGGTATTGCCAATAACATCATTCTACATCTGAAACATTAAAATATAAATTGTGGCCTCGACCTTTTTTTTCAAAAAAACATGTCTCTTTTTTCAAAATTGATATCTTAATATTATTTCTCTAATATATATATTCCTATCGTCCTTGTGAAAAAGAAAAGTATGATTTTGATTCCAATTGATGACAACTTATGTGTCCGTGAAAAATCGCTATCGAATGTATGGTGGTAGAAAAGGTAAAATAGAACGCTGTGTCTCTTAATTATATTACTTTTTTGGTGCTCTAGTCGGGCGTATTCGTCCGCTTTGCCGAAGAATTAATTTATAGTTTTAATAACGTACTTATTATTAGATTTACCGCTGCTGGAGATGTGAGAATGTCCCCTGACCCAGTTTTATCTTTTTTGGAACGTTCCTCGTCATCTGGAATCATATTTTCCGCCCACATTACCGGGACTTCGATGTTATTTTCGTCATTAGAATGAAACGTTACTTTGATAACCCAATTACGTAATATCGAAACGGATTTGTTTGTTGTGAAAAAACTTTTGATAATCCACTAAGAGCAGGGCAACAAACGTTTCGGAGCCAAATGTAAGACCTTGCTCTAAATAAATAATAAATTGATAAAGATGTGTTCGTGAAAATGTTACATAAATAGAAGGCAACCATAAGTGCACACCGGCATGGGGCTTAAAGTAAAACGAAAATCTAGTAAAAATCGACTAAAAGCCTAGAGCAGACACGGTTGCGGGTGAAACAAGAAAACTGATTGTACGGTGAAACAGAATTGAATTCGATTTTTGTGTTGTTAAA